CTCATGACATTGACCACAATTCCCACAATGCAACAGCTCCCCTCCCACTTCCTCCCCATAGTTACCTCTTCCCTGTATCCATCCCTCTCTGCATTCCTGCCCCCTGAGCTGTCTCCCTGTGCATAAGCAGCCCTTCTTTCTCCCATGGTTGTTCTCTCCAAGGAGTGTATCCCATTGGTGGCACTGAGTAAATGTTCACCTAATATGCCTGTCTTTTGTGTGGCTGGAAGTCACAGGTGTGGGTTCAATTCCAGACCTGAAGGGCAGCTAGGGGCCATAGTCTCAGTGGTTCCATCAGGCTCTATCAGACCAGCAAACTTGGCCCCCCTTTTTTTTCCAAATGATTTTGAGTTTTGTTCCCCATTGTTCTCCCAGCAGCTGAATGTTTTAACCACTGCACCACCAGGGCTCCTTCCCAAAGCTGTAAACCAAAACTCACTGCCATTGAATGTATTCCAGTTCATAGTCAGCCCTCCCTCCTTGGGTTTCCAAAATGGTATCTCGGTAGAAATAGATTGCCCCATCTTCCTTCCGAGGAGTGGCTGGTGGGTTTGAACCACCAGCTTTCTGGTTAGCAGTCAGATGCCTTAGGCACTAGCCACCAGAGCTCCTACTCCCCAAGTCCTAGGCAACCACTAATCTACTTTCTGTCTGTATGGATTTGCCTATTCCGGACGCGTCCTAGGATGTAATTGTACAAAATGTGGTCCTTTTGGGTCTGGCTTCCACCAGTCTCGTAACAGCTTCACGGGTCGTTCCTGTTGCCACATGTAATGGTTAATTGACAGCTGACAGTTTTCTAGAAAAAACCGCTTTGTTCTGAAAACAAGTGTTCCAGGCCCAAGTGGAGTGGTGCTGGGGTGGGCACGGAACTTTTGTGGCGCAAACTGTGTGATGTCTGTGTCCTCCACGTCTTAGGGCTGCCGAAAAGGGAAACTTCGAAGCCGCCGTGAAGCTGGGCATTGCCTACCTCTACAATGAAGGCCGTGAGTGCACTCGGCGTGGGGCCCGGCCCTGGCCAACCCAGGACTGATGCTAGGAAGTCAGACTCAGTGTTTGCCAAGGACCTCGGTGGTTACCAGGGGCCGGGCCGGGTGGGGGAAGGGGAGTAGGGAGTTACCGTCAGGAGAGGGAATGAGAAGACAAGGAACCTGTGGGTTGCTTCAGTTTTTCCAAGAATGTGGCATGGTTACATTGCCTCAGAGCGACGTGACGGGAAGTTTAGATTCTTATCCCTTTATAATAGCTGTGAGCTTTGACCGATTTCCAGCTTAAACGCTCTCTGCTACGTGGCCAGTTACGTTTTTATAAAAGACTAAGCATGCAGTAAAACTGCGACGTAGGTTAAAAAAAATTACATGTAATTTTACAATTGTTGTTGTTGTTATATGCCATTGAGTCGGACCTGACTCATAGCGACCCCTCCTTGGGTTTCCAAGGCAGTATCACTACGGAAGTAGATTGCCCAACCTTCCTTCCAAGGAGTGGCTGGTGGGTTTCAAAATATTTTTAATATAGTGTTAAATTTTTAATATTTTTATTGATGTATAAGGCTTAGTACAATTCCCTTGGGCTCATTAACTTAACGACCTTTATGTTATGGCATCCCCTGTCTTCTTACGTCACAATTTCTTTATCCCTCCCCCAAAGCATACTGGTTAAAGCACTCAGCTGCTAACCAAAAGGTAGGTGGGTTGAACCCACCATCCATTCAATGGGAGAAAGATGAGGCAGTGTGCTTCTGTAGAGACTGACAGCCTTGGAAACCCTGTAGGCAGTTCCACTCTGTCCTCTAGGGGCTCTGTGGGTTGGAATGGACTTAAAGCAACACAGCACCATCAAGTTGGATCTGACTCATAGCAACCCCTCCTTGGGTTACTGAGGCAGTATCTTATGGACGTAGATTACCCAACCTTCCTTCCGAGGAGTGGCTGGTGGGTTTGAACCACCCGCCTCCTGGTAGCAGTCAAGTGCTTTAGGCACTACGCCACCAGAGCTCCCACTTGAGTCTCTAAAGTAGGCAAATAGAAACCAAAGTTCGTTAGTGGTTAGGAGGGGTGGGCAGGGGTGATGTGGAAGTGGGCTCGATGCTTAGAGACACTGAGTTGCTGTTAAAGGTGATGAAAAAATTTGAAAATGGGTAGTGGTGATGGTTGCACAGTGTGGTGGGGTCATCCTGTTGTTGAAACTACACCCAGAAAAATACCCCAGTGCCGCCATTTCTAGAACAGGTCAGAGGCGTTGACGACGCCTGTAAGGGCGCCCTCCTCCAAGCGGTTGCTCCCCTGCTGACAAAAGCTCACCGCCCTCTGAAGTCCCCCATCTCATCTTGTGAGTTGCTGTTGTCGACTTGATCCCACAGAGATAAAAAAATTCCTGTTTGGATTTTTCTTAAAGGAGTGCTATGCTTAAGGCAGACATTCTTTAAGGTTAAAGAAGACTTCAGGGGATGTTTTTGGTTTAAGGTTTAAAAGACTACCTCAGGCAGTAGTTTCAGAGTTTATCCAGCCTCAGCAGCTCCGGAAAGGCTGGCTGTTATACCATGTTCCACATCCCCCCCCCTTTTGATCAGAATTCATTCATAGAATCTTTGATCAAAACAATGGTGAACGTAATTAATGTTTCGTTATGTATATTTTCACCGTGATTAAAGAAAAATAAAAATAGCTGCTCACTCCAGGCCTGTGACTGAGGAAAAGTCCTCACCTTGGAGGGAGATTGTCACCTGCACCCCAGCAGTTCTGACCCCCCAGTGGCCTGAGGTTTGGACACTTTCAGTGACGGTGGGGAACGTTCCAGACCCTGTCTGCCCAGGGGCCATCTTCTGTCTGTCTCTGCAGTGTCCGTGTCCGACGAGGCCCGCGCGGAAGTGAACGGGCTGAAGGCCTCGCGCTACTTCAGCCTGGCCGAGCGCCTGAACGTGGGCGCCACCCCCTTCATTTGGCTCTTCATCCGCCCGCCCTGGTCGGCCTCCGGGAGCTGCTGCAAGGCCGTGGTTCACGGGAGTCTCAGTGCCGACTGCCAGCTCCGCAGGGTGCGTGATGCGGGAGCCCTGGGGAGCCGAGGTGCACGCCGGCTGCAGCGTGCTTAGCGTCGGGCATGTGAGGAAGGGGGGTGAGAGACGGGGGGCGCCTGTGGAGAAGGAGGCGGCAGAGCGAGGGGCCGGGGCTCAGGTGGGGAGCACTGTGGCGTCTCGGCGGACCAGCAGGGCTGGGGCTCAGTTAAACAGTGAAGTCGGGGCTGGTCCCCTGCACTGGGGGGTGGGTCTGGCAGCAGGGCCCCAAGGACGCCCAGACTGGGCAGGCTGCACACTGGACACTCTCCCCCCAGAGCACCCCAGTCCTCCTCCCTCCGTCCGCGTGTCCCTCTGCGTGCCCCTCCGTCCGCGTGCCCCTCTGTCCGAGTGTCCCTCTGTCCGAGTGTCCCTCTGTCCGAGTGTCCCTCTGTCCGAGTGTCCCTCTGTCCGAGTGTCCCTCTGTCCGAGTGTCCCTCCGCATGCCCCTCCGTCCGCATGTCCCTCCATCCATCCGCGTGTCCCTCCGTCCGAGTGTCCCTCCGCGTGCCCCTCCGTCCGCATGTCCCTCCATCCATCCACGTGTCCCTCCGTCCGACTGTCCCTCCGTCCGACTGTCCCTCTGTCTTGGTTCTGCCGTGCGGCTGTAACAGAAGCACCTTAAGGGGGTGGCTGTAATAAACAGAAATCCATTTTCTCGCAGTTAGGAGGCTGGAAGTTGGGAGTCAGGGCCCCAGCTTGGAGGAAGGCCCTTGTCTCCTTCAGCTTCTGCCCCCAGGGTCTTGGGAATTTCCGTGTGGCCTGGAGCCTCCCCTCTGCTGTACTTCTTCTCTCCGACTGTTGTCGTTGGGTGCAGCCGTGTTGCTCCCAGCTCCTGTGACCCTGGGGACAGAGTAGGCTGCCCTGTAGGTTTGCTTGGCTGTAGGCTCTTTGGGAAGCACACTCCAAGATTTTTTTCAGTGGAGGCGCTGGGTGGGTTTGAACCACCAGCCTTTCAGTTAGCAGCCCAGCCCCTCACAGTTGGCACCTGGTCTGCTCTCTGTGCCTCACAAGTGGTGGGTTGGAGACACGCCCACATTGATCAGGCCTCAGTAACATACAGAGACAGCCCCACTCCCAAAGGCGGTGACGGCCGCAGGGCCAGGAGTCCGGGGTTTTGGGGGGTCACAGTCCCCTCCCCGACACCCGTCTTTCTCTTTTCTTGCAGACGCACCGTGCATCCATCCTACACTGTCTGGGGAGAGTGCTGAGTTGCTTCGAGGTGAGTGGGCTTGTCATCACGCAGGCTCGGGTGAGCGCAGGGCCGTGGGCCACAGTGGCCCCGCACCCGTGTGCCCGCCCCCGAGGGCCAGGACGCGGAGCAAAATCTCAGAGCGTGGGCCAGAAGCCAGCTGCCGCGAGTAGACTCTGCCTCACGGCGGCCCCTGTGTCAGCGCAGAGCTGGGCTCCACGGGGCTTCCCTCACTGCCCTCCGTGGGCTGATGTTTGGAGTGTGGGTCACCAGGCCTGTCTTCCTGGTCTGGCTGCGCTGTTGAAACACCTTCAGCCTCACAGCCACACGCGGGCTTCCCCAGCGGAGGGACGGCAGCTGTGCACAAGGTGCACAGGCCTGGAGTCACACCCAGGCGTCCCTGAGGGAAGGCGCCATAGTCATTCTTCCCACGCCACGTGCATTCAGCCCACAAAGTGTTCTCACCAGCTGCGTCGCCCGTGCTCGAGGCGTAGGGCTGGGAGGTGAACCCGGGTCTGTCACGTGGATGGTGCGCGTCCTGCCCACTGAGCCCCACGGCCCTCAGTGTGTCAGAGCGCCCGTTCTCTGAAGGAGAGCGACGCGTGTGAGGACTGGGGCGGCAGGGTGACCAGGCGGGCGGGCGGGCTGACGGGGACCTTGCTGTGCTTGGCCCGTTCCAGGATGAGGAGCGGCAGCAGCAGGCGCTGGCCCTGTTTGCGGAGTCTGCTGGCCAGGGCTGCCTGCCCAGCGCGTACCTGCTCTGGGAGCACGAACAGAAGTGGGCGGTAGGTGGCCGCAGGCAGTAGGTGGACGCGGGCGGTAGGTGGCCGTGGGCGGTAGGTGGACGCGGGCGATAGGTGGACGTGGGCGGGGCCCCCGCTCAACACCGGCCCTCAGACCAGGCCCCGTCAGCCAGAGGGAAGACCCCTACTCTCGGGCCCCGGGCCCCAGTCAGTGAGGGTGTCAGCGTGGCCCCGCAGAGGCCATTTGGGGGACGGGCCTGGGACCAAGTGAGTCAGGGCCTCCCGGGGCCGTGGGATGAACGTTTAGGGATCCAGCCGCTGTACAGTCTCTCTGTCCCCAGATGTCCGATCCTGGAAGGTGCCTCCACAGCTTCCGGAAGCTCAGGGACTGCGCGGCCAGAGGGTGCTGGGAAGCGCAGGTGAGGCGCAGCCTGGGGGCGGCCGCCAGGGCCCCGGGGGAGCTGTGGGGCGTCGCGGTTCCCTCGTTCCCTGAGTTACGCTTTCCTCTTCAGCAGGTGCCTGGCCTCCTGTTGCTTCCACGGAAGTACCACAAGGGGGAACTTTAGAAACAGGAATTTATTCTGTCACAGGTTAGGGCCCAGAGGTCCGAGTGTGGGGCGCCGGCCCCAGGGGAGGCTGTCTCTGCAGGCTCTGGGGGAGCTCCTTGTCTCTCCTCGGCTCACGTCCTCCAGCTTGTTGGGGAGCTCACGGGACGTCTGTCTGCCCCCACCCCCGCTCCATCTGCTCTCAGGTCTCCACTGCCCCATAACATACAGAGAACCCCTTCCACAAGGGGATTATAGCCACAGGTAGGGGGTTCAAACAGATTTTGAGGGACTCAGTCAGGCCCCACGGTCGGTGACGGCTCTCTGTGGTCAGGGAATGAGGGGCATGTTGGGAGGTGGCAGGAGGAGTGCTTTTCCTGTCCGTCTGCCTGGGCCCGTCCCCCCGCCACGTGGTCTCTGGGGTGCTAGTCGTTCTCCTGCAGTCATGGCTGTACAGGGGCTCTGGGTTTCCGGGCGCCTTCCAGAGCTGCTTTGCGGTTCTGCCACTGAACTTGACTGGCTTTCTGGGGCTCCCCCACCCCTTTCCTGTGCAGCTGGTCGTCACCACGAGCGTCAGATGCCGCCGAGTCGGCTCTGACCCACACGACCCCACACACAACAGGACGAACCCTCGGTCCTGCCCCAGCCTCACGGTCCTGGCTGTGCATGAGCCACTGTTGCAGCCGCCGTGTCCGTGCACCGCGCTGAGGGGCTCCCCCTCTCGCTGACCCTCTGCCTTACCAAGCGTCATGGCCTTCTCCGGGGCCTGGTCCCTCCTGGTAACACGGCCAAAGCGCGACGCAGAGTCCCATCACCTGCTAAGGGGCACGAGAGGCAGAGTCCCATCACCTGCTAAGGGGCACGAGAGGCAGAGTCCCCGTCGCCTCCTAACGGGCACGAAAGGCAGAGTCCCCGTCGCCTCCTAAGGGGCACGAGAGGCACAGTCCCCGTCACCTCCTAAGGGGCACGAAAGGCAGAGTCCCGTCACCTGCTAAGGGGCGCGAGGGGCAGAGTCCCATCACCTGCTAAGGGGCACGAGAGGCAGAGTCCCCGTCGCCTCCTAACGGGCACGAAAGGCAGAGTCCCCGTCACCTGCTAAGGGGCACGAGAGGCAGAGTCCCATCACCTCCTAAGGGGCGCGAGGGGCAGAGTCCCATCACCTGCTAAGGGGCGCGACAGGCAGAGTCTCGTCGCCTCCTAACGGGCACGAGGGGCAGAGTCCCGTCGCCTGCTAAGGGGCGCGAGAGGCAGAGTCCCATCACCTGCTAAGGGGCGTGAGGGGCAGAGTCCCATCACCTGCTAAGGGGCACGAGAGGCAGAGTCCCGTCGCCTCCTAAGGGGCGCGAGAGGCACAGTCCCATCACCTGCTAAGGGGCACGAGAGGCAGAGTCCCATCGCCTCCTAAGGGGCGCGAGGGGCAGAGTCCCGTCACCTCCTAAGGGGCGTGAGGGGCAGAGTCCCATCACCTGCTAAGGGACGTTCTGGCCGTGCTGCTGCCAAGACACGCTGGTTTGCTCTCCTGGCCGTCGACTGTATGGTCTGTTTCTCACCGACACCGTGGCACAGAGGCATCAATTCTTCCTGCAGAGGCTGCCAGCATCCTCTGTAAGGCG